GGAGGGAATATAATGGTAGAGGGGGTAAGAATTTTTGTAGACGGAAGTTGCCACAGATAGAGGCCACTCGCGTGGATAGGTTCCCGTGAAGGTACATTTTGACCGACATTATTTGACATATGAAAACGCGGGTCCTGTCACTGTCAGTTTTCCACCAAATTCAAATTTTATTAAATTTGCCATTTTACAGTACCTAATAATTTCGGATCGGTTTGTGCTCTGGTTTATATAAATAACTAACTGCCGCATAGTGTTTTTATCACACGCAATTTTGTGAATTGAGAATAATTAGCTGCGTATCATGCAAAATTTCTCATAAAGGGAAGAAACAGGGCAATTCCTTTCATCGGTAAGACATGTCATTTATCATGTTGTAGGCGAGGTTGTAGGGACCTAGGTTGTAGGGACCTAGTTTATGTTTCTTAGTTTTCCAAACGAACCAGTACTTCGAGCAAAATGGTTACCTAAGATTTGTAAATATATCTCAAGAACAGCTCTCGAAATTTACTTTTGTGCTCACAACGCTTCATTGACTGTGATTTCGACCAAAGGTTGCACCGGAAAATGTTCATCAAATATCTCGTCAAATATGCAGTAGGTAGGTACTATCAAAACTTGTAATGAACCTGAGACCAACCAATCAATTGTAGCTATTGATCAACACAGTGAATTTAATGGGAGTTGTCAAGTTGTAGTGGCTATAGTAAACTGGCCTTAATTATACTAATGGAACACATCGATGTATACTTAGATTTGTAATCAATGCTTATATTAAATCTGCATACTTTCCCGCATCCTTACCTATTTTGTTTACTTTATCACGAGCATGTATTTTACTCCTTCTATACTTTTTTTTGGTTATTATTCCTATTAGTGGAAAGAAAATTATATCTGCCCAATACTACTGGTTCTTTTATTTATTGGGACGGTTTGCTATTTCAATTGTAGGGTATCCGCCCCACAAACAATTGCCGCCATGCGCTCGAACCCTCGGAATTCTAAGGTACGTTATGTTCTTGTATTTTTTTGCGCGTTTTTGGAAGGCGCTGTTTTGGCCCATCCTCCGTCCGTCCGGAGGCCTTAACTACACCTACAGTTTCAAGATACTGTCGTTCTTTTTTTTTTGCGTTCCGTAGCTTATAGCTCTTGGCACCGCAACCAAGAACAGAACTTGATGATAATGTTGCCCGGGCATGCGCGGACTGCCGCCAATGTCAACTTGCTTATTTATAGAGATATTTTTTTGAAATTTCACCACAATGCTTCTAGCAGAGGCAAAGATTATCGCATATTTTTAAAACATCAAGTGTGCGCATGCGCAGACTACGCACTGCTTATTTATAAGAAGATTTTTCATTTGTTCTTGTTTGCGATTAGGTCGGATGTGTTGTTGTTTTAGAACCGCTTCGAGGAGTACAGAAACATCACCGTAAAAAATAGACCTCAAGGATGTAATTTAAATAATCCATCAGAAATGAGTGCAAACGACCGCTGGACGCTCTACTTCCATTGGCTGCACCTGTACGAGAACTACCTCGTTCGGCAGCTGACTGTACTCGAAGGTGGCCGTAGAGAAGTCTATAAGCAATATATAGAACTGCAGCACCTTCAAGACGTCGAGGTCATGAGGCAAATGTTAGTCGTAGGAATGACGACGACCAGTGCGGCTCGTCTTCAAACGGTTCTTCAAAGTTTGCGCTCGCCAATTGTGATAGTCGAGGAGGCCGCCGAAGTTCTGGAAGCGCACATTATAGCGTCGTTAACCAATCACTGTCAGCATTTAATCTTAATAGGCGATCACCAACAGCTCAAACCGAGCACTGCAAATTATCGTATGGAGGTAAAGTACCAACTGGGCATCAGTCTTTTTGAACGAATGGTACGGAACAACATACAATGTCATACGCTCGGAGTGCAGCACCGTATGAGGCCGGAAATTGCCAAATTAATTGTTCCCGCCGTCTATCCAAAATTGGACAATCATCCTTCCGTTGAAAATTTTCCCAACGTTAAAGGAGTCGACTTCAACTTGTATTTTATTGACCACCATCACAAAGAGGAAGAGGTGCACGATAGTAAGGTGAACCGGCACGAAGTGAGCTATATAATTGCATTGGCAAGGCATTTAATTCTAAACGGATACAAGCCCGAAGACATAACCATCCTAGCCGCGTATTCCGCCCAAATGTTCGCATTGTGGGAAGAACGGAAACGTTTCACTCATTTACTGAAGGACGTCCGTATCGCCGTGCTGGATAATTATCAAGGAGAAGAGAGCAGAATTATCCTGTTGTCCCTTGTGAGAAACAACAACGAGGGAAATATAGGTTTTTTGAAAATCGATAATAGAGTATGCGTCGCCCTCTCCCGGGCGAAAGAGGGTCTCTACATCATGGGAAACATTAGCCTGCTCTGCCAAGCCAGCGAGGTACGCAAATAGTAGATCTTGGTCACTGGTAATGTGCCGCGGTTCGGTTTTTCGCCTTCGAATTTGACGGTCTGATTTGTTTAAAAAAGGGGATACTCAAATCTTCCTTTGGTGGGAGTAATTTCATACTCCCCCCTAATACTTCAAATTTATTTCCAAAAATGACCATGAAAGTCCGGAAATCTAAACGATTTGCGGAGAAGAGTCTTACTGGGGGGTTAGTCTAGGTGATAGAGACTGTAAAATTGGCATACCGGACATTTTGAAGTGGAAAAGAAAAAAATGGTGGAATATGTTCAGTTAGGTGTCGGAAACAACATATTAAAAATCCCACCCCCCAGACCCTGTGCTAAAGGCTCCAGCCACCCCACCATCCCCCAAAAACCATGTTTTCGCTCTTTTTGGCTGATATCTCGCGATCTATCAGGTCTATATGAAATATTTTTAGCTGAAAATATTTCTCGGGAAATTTTATACAAGGTAGATACTCAGAAGTTAGCCTAGGTGTACCTCTTAGCCTAGGAAATTCATAAAAGAGGCGAAAATCATCAATTTTCGTGGCTTTTTGCAAATATATCGCGACCTTTAGGGCTAGATGAAATATTTTTAGCTGAAAATGCTCCTCGTGAAATTTCTTACAAGGTAGATACTCAGAAGTTAGCCTAGGTGTGCCTCTTAGCCTAGGAAATTCATAAAAGAGGCGAAAATCATAAATTTTCGTGGCTTTTTGCAAATATATCGCGACCTTTAGGGCTAGATGAAATATTTTTAGCTGAAAATGCTCTTCGTGCAATTTCATACGAGATAGGTAACTGAAGAGTTGGCGTAAAGTCACCTTTCACTTTCAACTTTCATGTGTGAGGAAATATTCATTGTAAAACAAAGTATTTCTATGCACCATTTACTCACGTAAAAATGTTGTTTCTGACACCTAACTGAACATATTCCACCATTTTTTTCTTTTCCACCTCAAAATGTCCAGTTAGATGTCTTTATCGCCTAGATTAGGTCTGGGGATGTGGAATAGGTACCCCTCAGTAGGCGATACTTTAATTGCCATTTCTAGAAAAGCACCTTGAGAATCCTGGGGGTTATTCAATCCTCCTTTGCACCACCTTTAACATAATTTTCCAAAAATGCCCCCCCCCCCCTACATTCTGTGCAATTTAGAAGGATAAGATTATAATAGTCCCAAGAACAAAAAGTGGGGGGAGATTGTCACCGTTGAAAGGGGGGGGAATAGAATTTGCTTTTCCTGGGGAAGGGGGGACTATCGAATTAGAAGTTAATTTTGCAAGTAGGTGAACAGGAATTACGGCACATAGCTTGTAGTCATTTTTTTATTAAAAAAAAAACATTTCTTGAGCATTTTGTTTTAGATTTGGCCGAAGATCAAGACGGTTTTGGTCGATCAGAACTCTCTGGGACGATCATTGCGCCTTCGTTGTCAAATTCATACGAAGAATGTAACCGAAATAGAGAATTTGAAAGATTTTGAAAATGTATCCGAAGGGGGGTGTAACACAATGTGCGATAGCATAATGAATTGCGGCCATGTTTGCCCAAAGGTTTGCCACATCATCGACAGGCAGCACGAAAATATCTCCTGCAAAGCCAACTGCACCAGGATCTTGTGCGACAACGAGCACGTGTGTCCTAAAATGTGCTTTGAAGAATGTGGCCCATGCATGGTGCTAATGAAAAGGACACTAAAATGCTCTCACGTTATTAGCCTTACTTGTTCAACTGATTTGGATACGGTTAAGTGTATGCAACTGGTCACTGCAAAATTGCCATGTGGACATACTGACTCAAATAAGCGGTGCCATACACCTGTGGATGTTCACATTTGCCCTTTCCCATGTACGGTACGTGTGGAACCGTGCGGGCACGCATGTTCTTTAAGTTGTCACATTCGTGATGACCCGGACCATCTAATTGTACAGTATACCGACTCGGGAACCGCCCGTGCCATTAATTCTTCACTCTTTTAGTACGTGTGCAGGAAGAAATGCGAAAAACCGGCGAAAGGTTGCTCGACGGGCGATCATAAGTGCAAAAGAGATTGTTGCGAGGAATGTTCGTTATGCGAGGTGATAGTGGAAAAGAGAAGGACGACGTGCACTCACCGATTGCAGATTCCGTGCAATGAGGATCCTAACGAAATTGTGTGCAAAATGGCGTGCCGCCGACTGCTGCCCTGCGGCCATGCTTGCAAGAAGAAATGTTCAGAAACGTGCGGGGACTGTAGAGTTATGGTAAGAGAAAGCTTGTGGTTGTCGATATTAGTTGGCCCCTCCCCATGCTTGTGAATATTTTCATAACCCCCAGGTTCTACACTGACTTCACATTACACTAACCCTGCAACAGAATCGCTATTCCCTTCAAAAGCTTTTGTTAGTAGGATCCTACCCTTGAGACGGATTACTGTTGCGAGATATCCAAGCCTACAGTTGAAATCCAAAATCAATCAGAGCCTTGGATGTTGTAACTAGGTCGGTTACAGTATTTCCCATCCCTGTCACTGTCTTCACGGCGAAAAATGTCCATACAAACATCAAATTGAGCAAACATTTACACCAAAAATGATTATGGTTTCAAACAATTAAAAGTTAACCGCAATTTTCATTCACGTGATGCATCATTGAGGTTAAATCAAGTCAACTTCAAAAACAAATATTGAAAATGATAAAAAAATAAAATGTTGCATACAAAACATAAGTAAATCATAAAGAAATGCAGAGATTACTAACTGCATTAAATAACACAAAAAACAACAAATTTAAACTACTTACACGATGCTCTCTAGGTGCCACCACAAACCCAGGTGGCTGTAACGTAAGAAGAGTTTCTTATGGCAATAAATCCTTGACTGATAATGATTGAAAAAAATAAAATTCTGCATAACTTTGCTCGTTTAAGCGACTTTGAGGTGTATCCCCCAGAAAAAAGGAGATTCCGTTTGTACTTAATGGTATCCCATACATTCCAGTCCCTGGTTACTCTTATGTTAATATTCCATACACTATACGCTGTGTCCAAGAGAAGGATGTCTGTTAAGAATTTCTTAAAATATAGTAGGTTACAGGTGTTTTTTTACCCACCCGAAATATACGGAGAATCTGTTTTTAATGACTGAACACCTTTTCTATATTCAATGCAACGTTAATTTTTTGTTATCAATTAAATGCCGTAAACCTTTCATTTGTATCACGTTTGTTATTTGGCTAAGACGCCGCAAAGTTCTACAATATCGCGAATCATCATAGTGGGATTGTGGACCCCACAGCTTCAGTAAATTAGCACACATAATTTTGGTCCTTCGAACCTGATTTCCATAGGCGGGTGCCGTGTGTTAATCAAAATCGCGTATTGGGTGCATTAAGTGAAATTCTAGTTACAAGAAAGAATCTACAAGATCGAAAATTGAAAGTCGTCTACTTGGTCACATCCGTAACCGCCATTACCTCAAACCTTTCACAGCTAAAATTGTTATTTCATTTATGTAAGTTTCGCCCAACTTTAGAGATTACAATAGTGTGATTGGTAGAATTAGGGAAATGTTGCGCAATTAAACAGTAATTATCATGTTTTAAAGGAAACAAAAAATTCCAATTACTTTCGAAGATACCACAGAAAAACCGAAACTTGCCGATTTTTTAAATATTCTTTTCTTATTGGAGCAGATATAAAAAAAATAAAAAACACGTTCTGATTACCACTTTTTGAGCTCTACAAGATAACATTGAGAGATTTTTAATACAATATGTCGCTTCGGAGAAATCATCAACTTAGTTTTTATTTTTTTATTTTTTTCTATATATAAAAAATATGCTGTAAAGAAAGAACATACTATATTGAGTAGAATTTTTTTATTACGAATACAATTTTCCATTTTCCAGGTAAGTTGTCCGATAGATATTTCTGCACAATTAAGCCATTGTGCGCGGGTGCACCATCTTGTTGAAACCAACAGTTTTCAACTTTTGTTTTTTTTGTGTGTGCCGTGCATCGTTGTATTCGTAATAAAAAAATGCTACTCAATACAGTGTGCTCTTTTTTTGTGGACCATATAAACAAATAAAGTTTTATGATGATTTTTCCGTTCCAATAACACCAGAAAAAAATACAAAGCAAATCTTTCGGATTTTAGTACAGTCAAATTAGATCAAATTTCCACGAATAGCGGAAGTAATTGAAAGAAAGCTGACAATTGGTATAGAGGTCCATTAGGGCTTATATTCGAACATACTAAAAGTCGGGGCCAAAACTCCTAGAGCTCGAGCCGCCATCTTGGAAAAAACACCTTTTTTCCAAGATGGCGGCTCGAGCCATTGGAGTTTTGGTCCCGACTTTTATTATGTTCGAATACAAGCCCTAATACCCTCTATACCAATTTTCAGCTTTCTTTCAATTATTTCCGCTATTTTTCCTAATTTGACTGGCCTATTTCTTTAAAGCATGATAATAACGCAAATCGTCGTATCTTCTTTGGTTTCCAAGATCGCCACTCGATCCGATCGACACTATAGTGTATAGTTTTAATCTCCGAATCAGCTGATCAAAACAGAGGCAAACTCTTGTACAATTTTTCTGGCTACCAGGAGAATATAATGGACGAAGAGGTGTTTTTCTATTACTACGAGAATTATTTCAATTAATTTAATACTGTATCTTTGTAAGATCGTCTCGTCGTCGAAATTTGCCTCACCATAGGACAGCTCGCCTTGACCTACTGCTGACTATAGGACGGCTCGCGACAGAAAGAATTTGCTGCCTTATAAAGCACTGTTTGACGGTGCGGATGATTTTCCCCACAGCGCCGTGTTGATTTTGCTGATAATTGTTGTGCGATGCGTATCCGCTACCATATGTACCCACCACACAGGAAAAATCTTTTTGAATTTCTTTACAGCGTGCCTTGGAACGATTTTGTTTTAGAATTTCTTTTTTAGGTCGCGAAAGAATTGAGCGTGTGCCATCATGAAGTGAAGGTGAAATGCAGCGAAACACCTAGCAGAGATCGCTGTACCGGACAGTGTCCGCTTACTTTAAACTGTGGTCACGTTTGCCAGGCCAAATGCAATGAACCGTGCACTAAACTGTGCGGGCACTTGGTCGAACACGATAAGATTGCGGACTGTGGTCACAAGTTTAAAATCGCATGTCATCTGAGAACTAAAGGTAAAGTTTAGTGTCAAATTCGAGTCTAACATACACGATACAAAACTGCTGTTAAAATCACTGTTTGTAGTTCTTCCCGGAAACTCGTATAAGCTGCTTCGATTCTGTGATAGTCCATGTAATGCGGTTTTGGAATGTGGTCATACATGCTCTGGAACTTGCGGCTCTTGTGCGCAGGGCCGTATCCATGCCACTTGCAATCAGAAGTGCGGACGTATTTTAGTTTGCGGACACGAATGTCCGTTTCCATGTCGTGAAGCATGCCAACCGTGCAACCTTAGGTGCACTTACAAGTGCGCGCACAGCATTTGTGGCAAGCAGTGCGGCGAACCCTGCACTAAATGCGCCGAAAGTTGCGAACGACGCTGCATACACTCAGACTGTGCAAACAGATGCGGTGACATATGTTCCGTGGCACCCTGTACAAATCCGTGCAAGAAAAAATTGAAATGTGGACACGACTGCGTCGGTTTCTGCGGGGATCCTTGTCCCCCACTGTGCCGGGTTTGCCACTACGACGATCTAACCGAGACGTTTTTCGGCACCGAAGACGAGGAGGGCGCAAGATTCGTTCTGCTCGACGAGTGTGGCCACATCGTAGAAAGTACCGGAATGGATCAGTGGATGACGGTGGACGATGGTAACGCCATAAAGTACAAGTGCTGCCCGAAGTGCAAAACCCCACTGACATCCACGCAGCGTTACAGCAGCTTCATAAAGCAAACCCTGCAGGACGTATACGCTGTGAAGCTGAAATTTTTTGGAAACGTCAAGGAAAATGAGGAGAAACGCGCCGAGTTACTCGGAAAAATGAATGATTTAGAAAAACTGACAAATGAAATGCCCGGTAAGTGCACTGAATTGTTTGAGGAGTCGCTCGCTTTGTTTTATGTGAAATAATTCAAATACTTCTAGAAGGAGAACGTTCTTACCTTTATATAGCAATCCTTACGCCATCTAGGCGATTATCTTCTAACCCATTTGTTAATTGTGAATAGTGTATTCTGTTCCCGTAGTAGATTTCTTCTTGCCTATCGTTCTTTATCTTCGTGTTTCTTTTATGATTTTCGATGTCGTGCGTTTTTCCCTCATTCCTGTCGGCGCGCGCAGTCCTTGTTGAAAACGCGAGGTTCGATTTTTACTTGTACAGAAGATACACGCAATTAAAGTTTCTTGACATTTTTTGTCTGCCATTTTTGGGATATACTGGCGCTGTGTTAAGTGAAGTTTCTCCCTTGTCATTTTACTTTCAATCTTCGCTGACGCATTTTTGCGGATTTATCAAATTTAAGGCCGTTTACGGCATGTTATCAAATACGAATTATCTTGTTACTTTGAATAACCGTTTTTTGCCTCGTCCTTACTTCTTACTTTTGATTTACTAATTGCTTCCTTGTTATCTACCCGATTGTGCTATCAATATCGATGTTTCTAAGTGGAAACGCTGATTGGATTTTCGCAATGTTGTCAAAAGTCAAAACCGCCATAGATATTTCTACTTTACCGATTGCAGAATTACCCGCCATTTCAAGCGAAATTAAACCACCGAATTCGACTGGTGACCCAATTATGATGATTGTTGACACCATATTTTTATTACTCCGATATTCATTTTTGTTAATTTACTGTATTTTATCTTTCATATTAACTACCTTTGCTTGTGATTTAGTTTTTAAAATTAACGAGACTTTGCCCGAAGTAAATTTCTACGATTTTTAGTTAACGTTATGTATTTTGCTCCGAAGTGAGTTGGTTTGCATTTGAATTGATGAGATTGCTTTGCTATTAAATAGCGATTTAGTTATTTGTGTATTTTATGGTATTTTTCTTAAAACTTAATCTCATTTTTTTTAAATATCTCATAATGATTGTAAGGACCGACCCTTAGTCAAACTAAATTTTTTTTGTCGTTAAGTCATTGGAATTCTTTTGAGTATTGATTGCAGTTCTACGTATAAGAATAACCCCTCGTGTCAGACGTTATACATTGCTTATGCGATAATTGGGCCACGCGAATCATTATCCCTCTTATTTTGTTTGTTTTGTGTGTCTGTCTGTTTACAGATTTGCAGTTTCGCGTCCTCTTGAGCTCAACAGGTTGCGACCGGAAGTTCAAAGGTAAATTTAGTTATTTTTGTCGTTTTTCCCTTTTAATGTTTGATTACATTTTGATTTTCGATACTAGCGAATTGTGATTATTACTTTGTTTGGAATTCACTCCATTGTTTCTGCGGAAGCGTATTTTGATAAATAACGGGTGTCCCAAAATTAACGCAAGATTTGAATTTGCCGCCATTTGTGCGGTGAAGTGTTGGCAACCCTGAAAAAAAAGCAATTTGACAGCTAACAGTATAGGGTTATTAAAAATTGAGCGTTACACGATAGAACAACGTGTCTTCATTATTAAAGAATATTTCAAAAATAGTGAAAGCTTGGCGGCTGCAGTTCGAAAATTTCATACAAAATATGGTCGGAATAGTGTTCACATTCGAACGGCTTGTTTTTGGACGACCAGTGTGTTTGGTGTCTCCAACGGATCCAGTCTCCATGAATTTTTCAATTAATCTCTTCACAGTTGACGAAGTTAGCTGTCAAATTGCTTTTTTTTCAGGGTTGCCAACACTTCACCGCACAAATGGCGGCAAATTCAAATCTTGCGTTAATTTTGGGACACCCTATACTTTCCCTGACTACGTGTTCATTCTCTTTTTATTCAGGAATACTGTAAATTCAAATAGTTACATAGCAGATCTATATATTACTGTGTCCTATTTTTGATATTTTGAGATCATTGCATTAAACCACCATTATTTGTGACATCAATTATTGTTTCTTTCTCTCGTTAACATTTATTGAAGACTAAGTGGCGTCTATCTGGACTACTTTTACTGTTTTCTTTTTTGTTGTTGCTTATTTGTGAACCCCACATATTCGCCTGGACGGACCTCTACTTTCTGAGCTTACCGTGTGCTTATCTATGGCAATTTTGTCGCGTTTGCCCAAAGTAAACGTAACAAAGCGAGCGACTCCTCGGAATGCTTCGTTTATAATCTTCTGACATTTTCAATTACGATAGCTTCCGCGCTCCTACTCCAGAAAATCGTTAAGAATCTAAAAAATTCGGTTCAAGTAGTACACAAAGGACGCAAGATCACCCTGAATTCCAGCCTTAGTAGGATATACCTATCGAAAATGCAAGTACTGGAAAACATCATCAAATCCTTCATAGCTGTTAAACTCGGTTCCGCAACTGTCATACATGTCGCCATAGAAGACATGGAGTTTTTGCTGAATTCCTTATCGCGCGAGGGGAACACGATGACCAATCAAGAAATATCCGACATACGCAAGGAAACTAACCGATTCTCTCACAAAGTGCAACTGCTCAAGATATCCGAAAGTGACGAGGTCTTCAAAGCGAAAATTTATGGAAACTCCTACAATAAGAAGCTATACGAAACGATCTACTACAAACTCGCTTCCATTTCCCCTTTTTCGGATGCCGCCGACGAGGAGATAGGGAAAAATATCGCCTATCTGAGCAAGGAGCTGGGAACGTACGTTTCGCAGATCGAACGACAGCAAGTGATTCAGGCGATGAAAATGGCCAAGGGGCACTGGTTTAAGTGTCCGAACGGCCACTATTACGCCATCGGCGAGTGCGGAGGCGCAATGCAGACGGGGAAGTGCATCGAATGCGGCGTCGCAATAGGCGGACACAGCCATACGTTGCTGTCGACGAATAGGCACGCCGGCGAAATCGATGGGTCCGCTCATGCCGCGTGGTCAGAGACTGCAAATAATTTGTTTAACTTTGAAGGGTTCCTCAATGGTTAGTTTTAGTGTTTTTTATTCACAATGTTTACGATTCGTTAATAGAATATTATGAAGTTTTTTTTAGCGAGTTGTTGACAACCCGCACCCCCACTTTACCCTTTTCTTTTCATAACATGTTTAAAACAAACGAACCTGATTTAAACATTTTTTTTCTACCCCTATACTTTAACTGATTAAATTAAACATTTGCTACAGTCATTTCGATACAGATTTTCATTAGGTTTACGACCAATAGAAATGCGTTGCCAATTGTGACGTACTTCAGCCTTCAGTAAGCACCGCCCACCACACAGTTTTCATGTGCTATATGCATTTGGTAATAATTCTAATAGCAAAAAGAGTTAATTTTTGCATATTTGTGTTTGTTATTGTAATGATATTTTAAGCAACAATGGAGGTTTTATTTTTCCAATTTTCCGTGTATATGAAAAAAATTGAAAACTAATACGGTTGATTGACGTAAAAATTTTTTTTCTACAAAAAACCTTAATACATTTTTGCTCTAAAATAATTTGGGGAGCCAATAATCGCATATTATGAATTTTACATTGAAATCCCTATGATGCGTTACGCAAGTCGCCACCCTGTATATGCACATTAACGATTATTATTATTATCCGAGTGCGATGAAAGTTTGGGAGTAGTTTGACGTATGTCCGCAAAAGTTTCTGAGTTAGTAAAACACTGAAGTTCCCATAGGAACGGACACAGGAAAAAAACAGGTGGGATGTTCTGCGCTACAAGATAATGTGTTGCTTGTCGGAGTGAGGATCAAGTAAGGAATACAAATAAAACAAGTACATGCTTTAAAAACGGAGATTTAATCCAAATAATTTGCATTGCAAGATTAAATTTAGAAAATGGTAGTTCACCGAGTACAAATATAAAAATAGGCTGGGAAAAAAAGAACGGACCAAGAAAAAACCTAGTCAACAAATTAATATTGAACTTGATAGCAAAATTAGTTATCTGTAATGGCATGAATGCATGTTGTCAAGTACAGCAATACAATGTCGAATCCCAGGCTCCACTGGAATTCCTAAAGAATAAATATTACACACACATAACAAAAACAATCATTAAAACATTACAATAAATTCATATAATAGGTTTGGATATTGGATGGCCAGTCCAAATCCCACACCGAGTAGTCATTAGTTGCTCTGGTCATGACATGTCAACATTGTATGAAATCGCTAGGAGTTGGCCTCTCAGAAGAGCCTTTCACATAGGAAGGATACCCCAAATTGTTAACAAAACAAAAGGTCACAACGAGAACACGCCACACGCTTTTAGCGAATCCCTGCGCAAGTGAGGCCGGGCCTAGCCAGCGCCCTCATGTACGACTAAGCGGGACCCCAACTCATTCATTCGCACATCTCTAGGGCCAGTCCAACCCACTAGTCTTAAAATGCCGGGTTATAAATTACCGAACTCCAGGCTCTCTACCATGAGTACTGACAATAACCGATCAAAAGACAAATCATGACATAACATAAATAACAGAGTAACCAACGGCAAACTCGCACGCATACCAAATTATAAACAAAATATACACAATTTATGTAGGCGTTGACAGTTGACATATTTGCACTGGCATAACAAAGACTGACACAAAACCAATATTCGGTCACTACGTGACAGGGATTGACTAAACGAATTGATTAGCAATATTGGCAAGTTGGCTCCCCTCGAAGACACAAAAAAAACAGTACATAAAATATATATCTCTGCGTATGTCAGTTCTGAACTTTAGCCAGCCTCTGCTACGTCAAATCGAGATATACTATCGGTATCAAATATAGCACAGTACATATTCGAAACAAGTCACCCCGGCAAATATTAATAATCATAATCACCCGGTTCAAATAAATAGTAGGAGCATAACTTTTAGTACTATCACATTACAACAATACAAAGGAACATGTCGTGGCAAACATTGGTATCAAGTAATTAATTCACAATGCCAAGTGCAATATCTAACAATCAACCACCTAACGTACGTCACTCGCCCCCAGATGAGGCACCCTGTAAATACACAGTAACATAAAAGTGCTGCAATAAATTAAAATGTAGTTCTGCATACTTGTATTGGGTATCGCCCCTAAGGGAACAGTATCTAAATATAAATAAAAACACGTAAATCGGTCAGTAATTCCCAGTAGGACCAGCAAACTGCAATTTGTATCTGGAATGTGTTATAAATGGCAATAATCAATGCTGTACGAGAATAAAGTTAAATTGGCAAATAATTTAACACGGTCATATCGTTATTAGAGGGATGCAATAGACGTAGAGATAAATAAAACGAGTACATCACCTTTGTAATTGTCGAAGCTGCACTCACTATTCGCAACGTAAAGATTTACTTCTGGTCTCAACAAAAGCACACATACTTCTGCCGCATTCCCCCATTTTTTTTTAAACAAATCCTAGACGAAATTTGAACGTGCTCCGAGACGGGTCGATACGGATCATTAAGTTTCCTCGCATAGCTGGCATAGCGTAATATTTGACACTTTTATTGTAAATGGCTCATTTCAATGTAGAGCAGAGAAGAAAAAAACACGTGTTCCACGGAAACGAAACAAATCGCAATCTTGACCTTTTTCGTCGCGCCAGGCTCGGATTCGGGAATATTTAAATCGAATTTTAGCGGGCTAATTCGACGGTTCCATCACAATATAGAAATTAATAAACACAGCGGTAGTCGGCGGAACGGCGACTAGAAACGGCTGGACGGACGGACGAACTTGGGCGCCACCAAGAGAAAATCTCGCGCAAGAATCAAAAATGGCAAAAGATCCCCACACCATCAAGCGTTCACCTCATAAAGAAATCGTTGGGGAAGTGGTGGACGGAAAATCCAATTCTTCGCTGCATTCACTACGAAAGCGAACCAGGTTCGGTTTTTAATTAGTCACTCGTCCTGCCATTATCTGGGAAAAATTAGCGCATCCGGAGACACCTCTCACGACTGTTTTTGATAAGGTTCACTGCAGTTCAAACGGCAGTGTTTAATTTAAAGACTGTTAATGTGGAAATGCGCTTTTTACAAATTATTTACGATTACCTACTTTTTAGCGCATTTTTGCAAGTTTATTTGTAAAAAGTAGCTTTTAATCTCACTTTGGCTGGCTGGCTGGCTGGCAGCAAATGTGGGCGCGTAGAAGAACTCTTGTAGAAAGGCAACGGGTGTACGTGCATCTACAAGGTAATTTGTCAACCTTGAGGATAGGGCTACATGATGTGGGGTTGGCGTCATCCTCGAGTGAAGTTTACCCATCTTCCTATCATCTACTACAGTTTTGGTCCGATTCTTTTCAAATTGGTGTCGTCGGAAAGATGTTGTAAAGGCCCACAACTCCTGCGTGGAGGAATTTTGTTTTTTGTCCTAGGGGCGAAATTAACGACCTTTTGCATGGTGCGCGCGCGCGTCTTCGAGAGGTAGTCAACTTCGGGCACCTTTTACCTTCCGTTGCGAATTTTGTCACGCGTAAATCTCGAATCGCTGTCTCTCATTCTCGTGTCGCCAATAGAAGCTCGAGCAACGAGAAGTCGGAAGTGGGTACCAACAAAGGGAATGTGGTAGCCCCCGTAACGATCCCCCCGATGGTGGAGTCAAATCTTCAAACGCGAATTGCGGGTGAACGGGACGTCGGAAGTGGGTATTTGGGATCAGGTGTCCTAGACAACGGCGTTACCATGGATTTGTTCCCCCGCATTCTCCATCTCGAAGTAGTACTCGTGTAAGTGTTCAATCCACCAAACGCGTGGATCGCCTGTAAGAAGCAAATTATTCTCAACCACCTATATCAACACTGTCCATCGGCAAACGATTTTTGTAATGCCCTACAGTGGCATACCAGTCACATTCGCAAGTTTTTAGATAGAAGGCTCTGGATAAATAATTGACTACAAAAATAAACATCAATTTCATGATGGATAATCGTATCTTTATCTTCATTCTTCTACTTATCGGCATTGCAGAACTGCTACCCGGCGACGATGACGGTAACTAAATATTTTTTCGTACAATATGTTTGAATGTAAGATTTTCAGACCTCTTGCCAACGTTCCCCTCGATAGCGACCACTTCCACAATTGCGCCGCCGAAGAGGTGCGAAGGGGAGCTAGCGATTAAAAGATGGTAAATTCGCTCGATTTGCCTTTTATGATTTGCTCAATTTCTCGTATAGCCAGGACGTGCGTTCCCCTAGCGACGATCCCAATTGGAAGTGGCACCGGCGTAATAAATACGTCGTACAGGGAACTCTAGAAGCGGCCTGTGATCCAGCCGATTACGTATTCAACTGGACTCTAATTAATGCGGATAAAAATAGTAAGTGTGGCCTTCGGGGTTGTTGGTTGTTGATTATGCGATTTTAGTGCCCAGAAAGAGGCGAGTACGGGCACTTCCCCAGTTTTGGAATAGGTCGCTTGTTATTATCAATCCATTCGAGATAGACGTCGGGACGTATCACGTTAAGCTTGAAGTTAAGCAGCTAAGTACCAACCAAGACAGATACGCTTATGTAAATTCCCATCGAGTGTGTATCGAGTGTGATTTTATTCCTTTGCAGTGTTTGGTTACCATTGTTTCGTGCCCACCACGTGCAATTATTGACCTAATGTACTACAAAGACTTTAGGAGACTAGAACAGAAGCAACGAGTTAGAGCCGATATGTCGATCAATTTCGATAATCCACCTGGGTATGAACATAGTGGTCTATCATTTGATTGGACTTGCGAAGACTTTGAAGATAACAAGGATAAGGATATAATATGTATATGTTGTCTTAAAAATAACGCTCACCAAACTAGTGAGATCCCTTAGGTATTAAAGCTGCAAGTTTTGATATTAATACTTTTTAGCTGCGACACTTTATTTATACACATACACCTTCCCCAAGAGGTACTATGTAATGAATGTTGGAGCAAAGGCGATGTATACTCTCACCGTTACCACCAGCGGTGGTGGTCAAAGCTTTCTACCTTTCATCGTATCCTTACCATCATCTCTAACTGATACTGATAGGTTTATAAAGTGAGTATAGAAAATGCGGCAATCTGAAAGCATCGAATTGAGTTGTGTTTTTTAAGATGTGTAAAGAATTGTTTCGGAGTAAGTAACTGTCAGGAGTCGATAATATTGAAGAGTTACGGCAATGTGCCGAATTTATTTTATGGATGGCATACTGATAAAGAGGGAGAATTCGAAGGCCTGACGGCGGCCTTAAAACGGGCTAATCGGCGTATTCACTCAATAACGGGCACGGTGCTCATAGACTATATGGAGGAGGTAAAGTTGGAGATTCCGGCCCACACATTCAAACCCGGTACCGAGTTGGTAATATGGACGGAATGGAACGGTATGTTTAATTGTAAAGTGGTATGGTTATTCCGTCAGTACGGCGAATCGAACGTGGTGGTTGGGGAAAGGGGGAGTGTAAACGCCCCCAGTACATTGTTAAAGGTATTATTTCAAACTTTTCCCTATAACCGTTAGTTTTCGGGAAAAGCCAAGAGAACTATGGGTCCGTGAAGTTAGCAGAACATTGAAGGCACAAATGTCGAAACTAGGTGGGTTGGTTAGTGCTTCGTTTGTGCCGTAAAAACTTTGCCAGCAAAACATAGGTACCGTTTGGAAATTATTTCGATTTTTAGAGGTTCTGCTAATAGGCCAGTCATTGAGGATTTTTACCTGGAAATAACTCGGGAAGGACAGAAATTTTGTATGCTTGAGTACGTAGAACTAAAATTCATAAAATGCACATGCCGCCAGGGCCGCCATCTTGCCAAGATGGCTGTCAAAAGCGGTTTTCCGCCGATATCTCCAAAACTGCGCATTTTACGAGAAAATATGCGGTGAGCAAAATTAAAGAAACGAAAATTTCCTACAAAAAATGTAGTTAGCAGTATTTTCACTAAAGTTAGCCCTTACGCAGAAATTCAGAAATTTTTAATAACCAGTGGCGTATGTTTTATCCAAATAATTCATTAATCATTTAATTAATTAATCAAATTGATTAATCAATTAGTCTATGATCAATTTTAAGATTTTATTTTAGTCGTCGCAATCTTCTATGGTGATAGCATTGAATTTATAACTATCAGAAGCGCCGGTTAAATGGCAGGATATGTGACTGTTTTCAATAGTTTAAATTACAAGACGTAGATGTCTCTACCATGATAAATAATAATGTCAGTTTTTTTCCTTTGTTAATTATTATACAGGAATCTGTAATGAACCCACTATCTCGATTTGTAATTGTTGCATACAGAATTCTAGATACTTATAAGGCATTTATGTGGCACACAGGATGTTGAATGACGCAAGATAAACATTCTTCCTTTCATGAATCGTGACCTACTTAACATTCCTTAAGGAAGATTTAATTACATTTGAACAGGAAAGCAAAAAATACGCAGGCATCCTTGATCACTGTAACTGAAATTAAATGTACCTACCTATCTATTCTTAATTTTTGTGTGTGTCGGTTAAACTACCTAGGACAGGGGTCGGCAACCTATTAAAACGGAATTTACAAAATTTCCCAGTTCTTAGAGCCACAAATAATTTTTGATTCAATATTATAGTTTTTGCTATATACAGGGTCCTGCAACAGTGCGTCGGTTTTTCCTACATAGCTGATAGATACCTGGTAAAAATATCGGTGCAAGTGTACTTTTGATACAAAATAAGATTAATTAAAAAGGCGAATTTCGAACAAATGAACTAATTTCTTTAGATAAATACGGAGAGCCGCAACTTATAGGTATCAAAAGAGCCGCAGGTTGCCGACCCCTGATCTAGGATCACACGTCACACCTGGCAATTTTGATACAAAATAAAAAGGTCGTTAACCTCTTTTCTTTTAAATTCTGACGTTTGAAATTTGTTCTCAATGGTTAATCGATAACTTATCGATAATTATCGATTAATAGTCAGTCGATAAATTTAAAAAAAATGGTCGACTAATGGATAACACCGATCAATAAAAAAAGAATTTTTTGCGCATGGGATTTACATAATATATTCTGACTATAATAAGCAAAAATAAATAAAAAGTGCGATTAAGACTTCGAAAATATTTGCTTTTACAAAAGTTACAGCGATTTGATTGAAAGCTTTCAGGGGCGAAAATTAAAGCTGGAATCTTTGTTTTCACTCAAAAAAAAAGAAAAATGGAGGGTGATATTTTTCCGCGGTTACTTAGCAAAGAGGAAAAAAAATCCTGGAACAGTTTTAAGGCAATAGTCCATGGCTTCCCGTTCAATGTTTCCTGGGAAACCATAGAGCTGAAAATTATGACGAGCTGACAGGATTTGGTTTTGTATCATGGGGTATGGAATGTCTCTAAAGAATAAAGATGCACAGGTTACATTCTCATTTAGATCAATTTAAGGATAATATGGGAGCTTATTCGGAATAACAAGGACAACACTTTGTCAAGACAATGGAATTTAGGCACCTTCCCAAGGCCAGGAAGCTGGAAGCATGATGGAAGATCATATTTGGGGGTTGATAAGAAAAACTTCAGTTGAACATGACAAAAACAGCAAAACTGTTCCATTTTTAAACATTTAGACTCTAAGATAAACAAATTATAAATGTAGAAACGTTACCATTTAATAAATCATGCCTATGTAAGTAACATTTTATAGGTATTTTTATTTTTTGGTTTTTTGCATTTTTATCACACAAAAGCAAATACATAACCATTTTTTGTTCTAATTCTTATTTGTGGCTATAGAAGCAATAAAAATAAGGTATATATGTTCCATGCGCAAAAATCACCCTCCATTTTTCTTTTTTTTTGAGGGAAAACAAAGATTCCAGCTTTAATTTTCGCCCCTGAAAGCTTTCAATCAAATCGCTGTAACTTTTGTAAAAGCAAATATTTTCGATGTATTAATCGCACTTTTTATTTATTTTTGGTTATTATAGTCAGAATATATATTGTGTAAATTCCATGCGCAAAAACTTCTTTTTTTGTTGATCGGTGTTATCCATTAGTCGACCATTTTTTAAAATTTATCGACTGACTATTAATCGATAATTATCGATAAGTTATCGATTAACCATTGAGAACAAATTTCAAACGTCAGAATTTAAAAGAAAAAAGGTAACGAGTTAACCTTTATTTATATATCATATAACTTGTAAGTATATCGCGTGCGTATGAAGTTCGTAATGTGCTTACTTATAAATTTATTAATATTCTCATTTGTGTCCTAGAGATTGGTCTCGGAACCTTACTGGGCGATTATTGGGTTGTGAAAGGACAAATCCGATGCTTGAATGAATCAACATTGACTGGTTGCAAAGTGAGCCGAATATATGGAGACGGCGGCACATTAACCAGCTTGTATGAAATAATTTGCACTTACAGCCTCAGTGAAAACGGCGGGGCTATACTTACAGTTTATAGGGAAGAGAATTCTTCGGGTAAACTGGACAAACTCGTCTCTTGAACAAAGATGTCATAACTTATAATTTTCCAGAATATCTTTTGGCCACCGGTTACAGTGGGCCTATACATGTGGCTGTTGCATACTACAAAGGCAAGAACTCACTTTTCGTTAAGCTACTGGATGTATCGGAAAGGCAGGCTTTTACTCGAGTTTATAGCGTTGATGGTGTAAGTAGAGCTCTTATTCTAAAAAAAAAGTTTTCAAATAATTGCAGATGCAACCGTACCCTTCCGATAAGACACCATTAGAAAGATTGCAATCGCTAAAGGCTGTGTATCTTCACGATCAAAATCCAATGAACGAATCGCTTCCTAGATTGTTAAGGAAACAAGATTATGAGGCAGCCATCCAAGTAATGCACCTCGTTATAGGAGCAATTGACGCCATTCCGTTACCCGAAAATAAAACGGAAGCGGCTCTTTTATATGAACCCATCGAAGAGCATTTGGTGTATCTTATGACTGGACTTCCTCAGGTTTTGTTGACTTGTTTTTAGTCATTTTCTTGTAAACAGTCAATTGGCAGCAAATTTTTTCGGTAGAACTATAAAGTGCTGCTTGTACCAGTCAGTCTTCTGCGCTAAAATGCGCCGTAAACAAAAATCTTGGCGCCATTATAGTGTTTCAGAAACACTATACAGGGTGTTTTTTTGGGAGCTTTAGTTAAACGATTCTGAGAAAGTAAAATAGGTAGGTTTTAAAAAATTTGTATTTGGGAGTTACTCCGAAGACCGAATCGATGTAAAATATTTTCAAAATGGACGCACTTCCGGAAATAACTTTTGAAAACGCTAAGTTAGACCCTCCACTTTTTAAAAAATTTTTATGGCTTAACCGTAATGGCGCTAGCTTTAATTCAAGTGGCGCAATTGAGCGCATAACCAAATGTATCAGGTGACCTAGTTACAAGGGACAAAATACGTACTGGGGGGGGGGGCTACGTTCACTTGGCCCCCCCAAATGTTTTTTCGGATTTCTAAAAAACGATAATGGCGCAAGAGTTATTATCGGTGGCGCATATGAGCGCATAACGAGCGCATTCATTTCAAAATAATACGACTATGAAATCTCTCAGTGGGGGGGGGGGGGAAGTTAACGGACCCGCATTGTTTCTACTCCGTGCGCAAATATTTAAATATCAAGATGACTGTTTGTTCCTAAATGTTAGATGTTTTACGTTTAGTTAGTCACATATTGTATTGTTTGGTCCATCAGTGTATTTTATATTATGTTTGTATGTAGAACTGGACGTGTCATAAACTAGACGGTATAGAATGACGAATAAATATTATTATTATTATTATTAATGAAATTCGCAGGTAGAACTTCATCTTATCGACGATCACTACCTGCTTCTTGGAGTGTTAAATCATGTGAGCAATTTAAACGAAAAGCTACTCACAGCCAAGGTGTTTAGCGGTATGGTCACGACGGCGCAACACATTGCCAATACGTTCAAGAAGTATTGGGCGGCCACCCTTTTGAAAGAAAAACTCAAGGGCGACTTTAGGAACATTATCAAGTAAGCTATTTTACATAATCATCTCTCGTTTAACATTTTTCACTAGGTACCTCATGGCGATCGTACTTAAGGCTATGGCGAATAAGATGGACGACCTCAAGGTGTCTAGGCCTGAACCTAACGCGAACTTTTCGCGACGAGACGACGCCTTCAATTTCGTGGACGACTCGCTGATTCTCGATCCCAAATATGAAGAGAAGCTTGCGCATGTGAGTGAAAACGTTGGACCAAAGCCCATTGATATTTGCCATTGTAGTACCAACGCATCAGTCGGGAAGGTATCGACGCCCTTTTAGAGGTTGCCCAGATCTACGGGCAGGACATGTTCCTTGGGGAGGATTTGAAAACGATAACATGGGAGGAAGCCTGTACTTTGAGTGTAGCTCGATGGAGTGCGAATCAAATACACGAAATAAACTATGCGGAAAGTCCCGCGACCGTAAATTTTGATAAAAATGCCTTTAACGTATTTAAAAGAACCGAAGTGGTTGTTGTGGTAGGTGGCACAGTAAAATCAGTTGGAGAGCGAATTATTGATTTGCAGATAATGAAATTTGTCAGTATCGATCCTTTGTGGTGGGATCTGGGCAGAAGGTTCATACGTCCGCCTTATTTAGTTATCAATTTGTTCGCCAAAAATGAAAAACTGCCGGCGGCGGAAGGCGGTATTATTGTCAAGTTTACGTTCTCACCTGAGAATATGACGCAAGCGAGTGGCGACTTTGTTGTACCTGAAAACCAAATGTACTGGTCCAAGGACATAAAAGAGAAGGCAATGATTATTCATCGCGTCGACGTTACCCACGGTACCGCTCTACTATATAAATTTAATTTGGAGAGTGACAGTCACGTTTTAAACGTAGGTAACACAGCTGTACCACTGCTGCTTATCATTGTCGAATTGTAGATTGTGACCACTGTCAATCGTCTGCCTTTGATTGACGATTTCGACAGAGCAAACGTTAAACAAGTCGGTAAGGATACCGGTCGTTTAGTTGAACGCTTCCCCAAAGAGTTCCTTTCATATGGTGATGCGTGGATTTACATTGCAGTGTTACCGTCCAAGGCAATGAGCAAAGACGAGGTAATTTTTCTCATCTCATTGGCTCGAGAGGCTTCCGAAATCTATTAAGGAACAATGCTCCATAGAAATTAAAAACGCACCACATTTGCAATGCGGTTTTCAAATTTCCATTCAGATTTAAGAATATCATTTATTCAACCTGTTAAATTGTGATACTCTGTGAAATGCCCAAACTGCTCCACACTTATTTTAAATCCCAAAACCTCGAACTTTCCCTATTTCAATAAAATTCGACAAATTAAATAGCTACCATTACAAGATGGTTCTCCTCAATTTTTTTAATGTTACAGGAGACGAGAGCAAAACTTAATGTGAGTTATACTGTGGGTCTATTAACATCTGGGTGCATGTATTGGTCGTTTCCTATGACGGAATGGATTCCGCATGGTTGTTCAGTAAGTAAATGTTCACCCGAAAAGTGCATCAGCATTTTATTTTACACGCAGGCATCCGGTGACATTAGCGACACTGAAGTCGAGTGCGTTTGTGATCATCATTCGATGTTCGCTCCGCTGGTGCTGCCACCATCAGTCATATCGATACCGTATGTGCCACCGGTGAAATTTTATATTGAGATGCAAACGTGCGACGTCATATTTGTGTTTGTGTTGATCAGCGTCTTTATATATTGCTGCGTTTTGTGCTTGGGATTTTCGAGCACAAAAATTGTGCAAAAAAAGGTAGGATATTATGAATGGACTGTAGAAATACCAGGCCTATATCAACGATCAGCATTATTTTGTGCTAGTATAATATACAAAGCCCTATTAAACATATCTGTACCTGAGAGCCAAACTGTATTAACTCCATTTTTTTTCAAATCGGTATTAATTAAGTTCTCTTCCTACTAAACGAGACTCGCTTTTTCACATGGAATATAGTATTATAATATACTTTTGAAGTTGGCCAAAGTTAAACAGTGTTATATCAATAACCTTTTCCGAGCAAAATAGTTACTGTTAAAGAAACTTACATGTGTGGATATGATACAGTTTTCAGTGCGTTGATGTTGTGTAGAAGTGCACGTGTGTTTTTTACTCTGCGAAAAAATGGCAAATATATAGGTCAAGAAAAATATTGGAAGTCGCTTTTTTACACCTTGCAATCATTAAAAATAATTTTAAAAAAATTTCAGAATACATTAGTATTTTATTGTCCATATTAACTCCATTTTCATTTTTCAAAAAAGTATTTAATACAGTTTGTAATTCGAAGTATTAGGGCCAAATGGTATTAACTCCATTTAATTGACTTTTTAATAACTTTTTTTGGCAAAAATAATGAAAATTTTAGAAAATTAGAAAAGGGATAATTTAAGGACATCCACATTTTATTTTTGAGTTTAATTTCTTTTTTAATAGTTATTAAATAAATATTGTAACGTGATTTATAAATTCGGGTTCGATTTATATCAATATTTATTAAACAAAACTAAAACACTATAAAAACTGTACAATTTATATCGACTATTTATATCACACACTTCGCAATTTATATTTCCGCGCTCGATGTTTCATCCGTACTCGATCTCGTTCGGTAGTAAAACTGCTTGCGATGTTCGGTCCGCAACCATTTATACACGCAAGCAATGTAAGTCCAGAACACCCGCGTAATTACCGGATAAGTCTCGAATATTCCTATACAAATCCCACTATCGCGCGCGTAGAAAATTCCAGAGAGCCAAAGGCGACGTCATGTCTGGAGCGTTTCCGTTACAATATTTTGTATTAATTTTAATGTCTTATAAATTTTCAAATCGCTCTGCTGTAAAATTTAATTTTTTTGAGTTAATACAGTTTGGCTCTCAGGTACAGATATATTTAAACGTATATTATACGTATAAAACATTAAAAAATATATTCTTTTTTATGTAATTAGCAGCGAAATCGATGCGTACATTTTGAGTTTAGTGGGTAGTATTTTGAAACCAACGTAAAATTAAACCATTAATATTTTTTTATTATAAACGCGTAAAATTGCTATGCAAGATAGTTACATTATTCATATAAAATATTTATAAATATACATATTTTGTTATGGGATTGATGTTTTTTGAAAAAATTTGTGACCCTTTCCTACAATCATTATTTTCACCATTAAATCATTCATTCTTATCAGAGGAGGTCACCTAGCTAAAGTTTGTTAATCACTAATCCAAAACTCTGCCCTTCATTAGTACTGTTATTAAACCAAAAAGTGAAAGGCGACTTCAACCTCACTAGAAACGCCGACCAGTGGCAATCTGTTATGGTCCTTTGGCATTTCAGGTTTATTATGGTGGCGATAACGTAATTTCGGACCGATTCGCCTACCTAGTTTGCGTCAAAACCGGCTCCTATTCCAACACAACTTCAAATATCGGAGTGAAATTTATAGGAAGCAACTCCACTAGCAGAGTAAGAGCTCGCTCTTGTTTTATGTTGGACTAATCTTTAACGATGCCATAGATGCACATAATTAACTATCCGGATCCCGACTTTAAGTTGTTGCGGTTGGACAACGAGGATTGGTTCGTGTTGACCTCCGAAAATTATTTAGGGGAGCTTACGGAAGTGATGTTGTGGCACGACTGCGTCGGTTCGAGTCCCGATTGGTAAGTGCGCGACGATCTCCAAGCTTCGAGCTAAAATGGACCAGGTTTTGCGAGTATGTTTCAGTCGTCGATCTCCAAACACGACAAGAGTACTGTTTTTCAATACACAAATGGATTTCTGTGGTGCTGTCTAAGCAGCGATTCCTTGTTGCAAAAGTATCTTCGACGCTGACTGAACGATTGAACACCAGTAACATGTATCGACGACTCTTGGACGCTATGAAGGATCACACCTGGAATATTCTTCAATCGTAAGTTTCCCGTTGGTCGTCCTAATTCGCACGTATCTTTAGATTTCAGGATAGCGATTTATCATATACTAAGCGAATCACGCTGATGCTTTCAATTGTGCTTACAACGTTTTCTTTCGCACTTTGCGCGTATGGTACTCCGTCATTTCACAATTATGATGTTCTCGATATTGGACACATCGATTTTTATCCTTCAATTGCGATCGCCGCCGTCTGTAGTGGAACTGGTTCATTCTTCGTGCATTTAGCGTACGTCATGCTATTTAGGTATCGATAATCGACAGCCGATACTCAATTATTAATTATCATTGATACCTTTCAGGAAAGCATACTATAGAAATGTGATGACCGGGGAGACGTTCCTTTTTAAAGTCGCCTGGTAAGTGAATAGCAGATGGAAGCTCTCATCTTACTGTTTCACGTATAGGACACTTTTAATTCTAACAATATTAGCGGCATCGACGTTTTTGACGTTGTGCGGCTTTTTTGTCGGCGTTGTGTCGTCGACGCTTTGGACTTACTCTTCGATCGCGGCTTTAATACAAGCGATCGCGCTGCTTGAAGGCATTTACGTGGTATTCCGAAATCTCGTTTTCCCTAGTCCCACCAGGGTGAGTGCACTTTGCTCAAATGGACTGCGCGTGCCAATGCTAAATATTTCAGCTTAGTGATCGTGTCAAGCTGGCAAACGCGGTGGTGGACGAAGCCGAAAATCAACGAAATACGTTGTTTGAGAAGTTTGGTGATTTTCTATTTCGACCCTTTCTTAAAGATAAATATCGTGCGTTAACAAACGAAGAGTGGCGGGTAATACATGATTTCCATAAACCCTAGGCGTTGGTGGCCCAAAAACCTTTTAGTGCCATAAAATCTACCGGGATGGGGAGTAATTACGATACTGTCGTATTGAACGTTAATTAAATAACTTTTAAGTTCAAACCGACCCAAAGACGAACTTTCGTTTTCAGCCCCCCCCCCCCCCCCCCCCCCCCCCATTTTTTTATGACCACTTGTTTGGACGATGTGTCATCAACGCTTAAAAGTACCTGAGTTACTATTCTTTGCCTGTATCATCCACATTTCAGTATAAGAAACAGAGAGAGTTGGAGAGAAAGGATCACATCAATCGTATTACCGACGCATTAATTTATGTTCCATTTATGATCTTATTGTTTATAATTATCTTCTTTTACCGCGACAGCATGAGAGCCATAAGCAATAATGACATACGAGACATCTTCTCTGGTCATGCATATCCAGGCACCGCATCGCTTGCTTCCATTAACAACACAGAAGGGTAGGTGACTATTTTTTCAACTAGCTTATCATGGATACAAACCGAAATTTGCAGATTCTACGCTTACATAACCAACTCTCTTTGGGAGAACGCATTCACGAAGTCATGGTACGGAATGGAAGATATCGCACAAGTGAAAATGATCAAAGGGTTGGATAACGTCGTGTTAGGGGCGGTACGACTTCGCCAACACAGGCTGGCGAACCCCTGCTCTATACCTTCCTCATTCGCAAAATCGAATCTCACTTGCGTCCCAACTTACACCCACGCCGATTTGGACCAGAACGATTACTCGAGAGCTTGGGGTCCCAACAAGCCCACCGCAAGTCGAGTTAATCCCTGGAGATGGGCGACAGAGGCGATGCACATTTTCGGTGCGTATTTTCCCCATTTTTTTACTAGATCTAAAATTGAAAAGCTCAGGCAAAAGGTCTAACTACGCATCCGGCGGTTACGTCATGGATTTAAGCGAGCAAAAAGGCATCACCGGCGAAATGATCGAGTCCATAACAACTTACAATTGGATCGATAAGCAGACTAGGCTGTTGGTCATCGAATTTCTGGCCTATAACGCCAACTACAATGTATTTCATTTTGTCAAATTGGTCATTGAGAAAACGGCGTCTGGTTACTGCGATCCGACAATGAAGGTAGGTTAAACTTCTAAGCATGTGTTGCAATGTCCCGTAGTTCTCTCATCACTCAATTTTTTTTGACAAGTATGAGACTTAGGACCCTGGCATGATGATGCGTAGGAATCCTGAGAACATACGATCTTTTTCTCAATAGAACATACCTAAGTACCCAGAGACTCTGATACTCTTATGATCTAGGGTAGGGGTCGGCAATCTGCGGCTCTTTTGGTATAAAGTTGCGGCTCTCCGTATTTATCTAAAGAAATTGGTTCGAAATTCGCCTTTTAATTAATATTATTTGTTTACGAAATCAAAAGTAGGTACACTTGCAGTAAATAATTACCTAATTTGTGCCACTTGTTTACTTTCTGATATTCTTTTGTTTTTTTATTATAGCCAGCCTACTCCGTCGATGTATAAACACGTAATTAATTAATGAGTAGGTACTTTGTGAAAAATATTGAATAACAAAAACTGTGGGGTTTAAGCACAGGGCACCCCTTATAAACTTTGAAGAGAAAACAAAAGACAATCGAATAGCGAAATAAAATAATGGGAGTTCCATTTGAAAAAGAACTTTACACTTTGAACAAATGGCTTTGAAACAAGTAAAAATATGCAGGATGTTCTATTTAAAAAGATCATTTATTGATATCGTAAAAATGGGACACCCTGTACATTCAAAAATAATTTCTGTAGATATTTTTTACCAGGTATCAGCTATGTAGGAAAAACTGACGCATTGTTGCAGGACCCTGTATATAGCCAAATACTATAACATTGAATCAAAAATTTTTTGTGGCTCTTTAAAAATTGGGAAATTTTGTAAATTGTAATTTTTGGCTCTTCCGTATCAATAGGTTGCCGACCCCTAATCTAGGGTCAAGTTCGGAGATCCTGAAACGTATACCTACATCTTCCAAAGATTATAAAGATTTAAAAAACCTTACTACCATAAGGCACTGCGACCTCCGAAAGTTGAGACTTCCAAGAGTCTGATGTTTGGGAAGACAGTGTTTATAAAAGTCAATGATTGACGCTATGACACATACAGGGTGGCCATTTGAAAACGAAACAGAGCCTATTTTGGGGACCTCAAAGCATTTACGAAAAAATCCGCGGACTCGTCAATTTTTGATCCAAGGAGGAACCATTTTTTTGCTAGTTTCGCCCCCCCTGGGGTCAAAGCCATAGCGGGGGTCACAAGTTCCACCAAAATTTTAAATCGAATGAGGGGTCGAGTGATACCTTATTTTAAAGGTATTTTTATGTAGATTATAACTCTTAAGATTTACATCAATTTTATTTTAAGTGCTTAAAGCTAAAATCAATCAAGTAAATGTTGAAAATGTTGGCCTTCGACTTCCATACAATAATACAGGTTTTGTTCAAACCTTTCCCGTACATTTGCAAAAACTTCTGGGGTGATTTGACGACATTCATCAATTATTCTTTGTTGCAAGTTGTCTAACGATGTTGGCTGACTAGCATACATTTTAGTTTTTAAATGGCCCCATAAGAAAAATCTAACGCACTTAAGTCCTGGAAACGTTTGGTCCCAATATTGACGAACCTTTGCAGCATAGTGGGGTGGCGCACCATCTTGATGGAATACTAGACGATTTTCCAAGTACTCGTTATTTTCTAGTATCTCCACTAATGCTGGATGAATCGTATTTTCTAATAACTCCAGGTACATCTCTCCTGTTAGATTGCCAGGTAAAAAGAAGGGGCCTAGGATGTGGTTACCAAAAATGCCAGTCCAAACATGTTCTGGGATTTGATTCAGCCCAATAGCAACAGCAAACTTTTTTTTCATAAGAAAATGTAGACACGTTTTTATAACTTTTATTAGCCCCTGTATCGGCTAGGCAAATTAGTAGCGATTTAAAACTTAAGGGTTATAATCCACATAAAAATACTTTCAAAATAAGGTATCACTCGACTCCCCATTCGATTTAACATTTTGGGGGCGGTCGTTACCCCCGCTAGGGCTTTGCCCTTAGGGGGGCGAAACTAGCAAAAAAATGGTTCCCCCTTGAATCAAAAATTGACGGGTCCGAGGATTTTTTCGTAAAGGTTCCCAAAATAGGCTCTGTTTCGTTTTCAAATGGCCACCTTGTATAAGGCTCTGATGCTTTGAGAGCTTGCGGTCTTGTGATTGAGACGCCTTAGATCTATACCTTGACATTAGAACGCGAAGGCTTAGAATACGAAACTGAAGAAAAAAGGCAGAATCTATTTTATGGAATGGTCTTGTATCTTTGATCGTATTGTGTACAAAGTAATCATGCATGGTGATTGTTATAAACATTTGGGGGAGAATTGATCCCTTTTTTTTAAAGCAAAGCAACCTTTGGTGGTAATTGGTTACTGCTGTGTTGGGGCATGCTTCATACACCTCCAGACCTCTTGTTAGAGTCTGTCTCAAAACGTTTCCCCTCAGAACCCTCGTGTGTGGAATATGTTCCAGGAAAAACAGATACGATGGCCTTCTCTTAAAAGCTTTCGGGAAACGGTAATTCATTATTTTTGTGCTGGGGAGTATTCTATACCCCCAGTCCCCTCTTTCCCATTGCAAAACGTTTAGACTAAATTGGGAAATCCTCCAGGGAAAGGAGATTAAAGGCCAATTCATACTATAGCTCAGTTGACGCTCAAAATATTGTAACATGCTATTTCGATAGGAATATTCACATTTAACGGTCAGGTCACGGTCGGAACATGTTCATAGAAATACACGCTACAATATTTGACCGGACCGTGATCTGACCGATAATGTGAATTAGCCTTTAATGACCATTTTTCGAAAGCAACTGAAATCGACTCTTTCTGTGCTTGGGCGGTCCCCCAGGTGCTACATTCTTCCCCAAAACGTTCAACACTTAATCCTAATCAATAAAAACCATTATTATTATTATTATTATACTATTATACTCTGAAACCCACTTTTATAAACATAGTGGGGGAAAACGTGACACACGGAGGGATATGGAATACTTACTTCCGGGAAAAAGGGAAATGTGATGACTCTTTCCCGAAAGCACAGATCTACACATACACAGATTGCTAACCTTATGCATTTTTTGGGAAACAAATTTAGGTATACTTAAAAGCGCCCTCTATTGCGGAGCAGTATAAACATGTATCGTTTAAAACTCTAATATGACGCTTATGGATTTATGCGTTAGATGTCGCTGAAACAAAATTAAAGCGCTAAAGTTTGCACAATTCGAATTCCTTAATATTCGTATTATTACAGTGGTATGATATGATAGGAGGTACGTTGAGCCATAATTGTTTAATTTAACACTGCAGCTACTCATTCGTCGTAAGGGAGTTATTAAAAGCGGGTCCCTGTGGTCACAGATACACACGAACATAGGGCAGGTTCTTAAAGAATCGTGAAGGTATTTTGAAGTTGGCGGAAAGTATTTGCGGCTTTAAAGGTTTTGACAGATTGCTAACTGCAAAGGCATACTTACAAACTATGTATATCTCTGCCATCATTAACGTTACACTCTTTACCACGCCGATAAGATATAAGATGTTATTTTCGAAAAGTTGATAGTTTTCGAGTTGTAAGCACAAAACTGCTAAAAGAAATATCTTTTTCAACTTTTTTGTATTTTTTTCAATGTTGCGTCATGAAATTTTGTTAGCAAACCTCAGATTCGGATTCAGCACCCCAAAAAACATATAGAATCAAAGAAATCAAAACTACCCCACAACTTTCCTGGCAAAAATACAATTAAACTGCTTTACCGCTTTAAATTTTTTGCAGCGACATCTAATGCATAAATCCATAAGCGTCATATTACAGTTTTAAACGGTACATGTTTATACTGCTTCGCAATAGAGGGCGCTTTTAAGTATACCTAAATTTGTTTCCCAAAAAATGCATAAGGTTAGCATTCTGTGTATGTGTAGATCTGTGCCGAAAGCAATTGCAATCATAGGTTTCGGGAAAAGGTAATCGATTCCTTCTGTCCCGGATGGGGCTTTTCAGACCATTTTCTTAGACTCGCTTGCACTGCAGAAAGTGCTGGGAAGCGTGTAGATGGTTTATAAAAGATCCAAGGAAGAGGAACTATATCTGACAATCTCATTTAAGAGCGTTCTAGCGCCTTCAGAGCTTTAGAGATTAGATTATATTCATTTGACTTCTGATCCGTCTATCTTTGCAGATATTCTCACTGAGACTGTTTACGACAAATCGCGCCGCAGAGCTCCTTTTCTACGCCTTAATAGTCCTCAGTGTTATGTTCGCCTTGGCGTTCATTTACAACGTAATGAAAAGGATACTGACCAAAACGTCCGCCATCAAATTGTGGGATATCGTGGACTGCGTGATTATCGTTTTGGTCGTAGTGAATCTAATACTATTCTTCATACGACTCTACTGGCTTATGACTCTGTTTCACAAGATGGAATCGGTTAGGCCCGACGAGTACATAAACTATTACGATTTGCTGTACGTCGGAGAGCAGCTGTTCGTTGTGGAAAGCTTGACGCTGTTTTTTATTACGTTCCGGATATGGAAGATGTTGGACTTTGTAGGGATTTGCGGGACTTGCATGCGCACCCTAAGAGCCGCCCTTCCCGAACTGTTATCCGTGGGGTTAGTGCATTTGATAATACTGATATCTTGGGCGCTAATGTGTCACATGATATTCGGAAAGAGCAGCAACTCGTTCCGCGACTTCCAAACCTCGCTCGCAACAATAGTGCTATTCACCAAGGACAGAAGCCACCTCGAATATCACCACTTTTGGAACGTGTACGGCGCGTTTATGATCTACATTTACACGATCGTCACTCTGATCATGTTCGGATTTTACTTCGCGATTATCCGAGCGTACTACAGCAGGTGTAAGAAACGCGACTCGGGAATTGTAGAATTTTACTCATTTCACATGTACATCCGCGACAACTTCTGGGTTTGCGTAACCAAAATTAAGAAGGTTGTGCAAGCCTTTCGCCTGAAGGCAGGCGCGGACTCGGAATCTCCACCGGTTAAACCGTCGAGTAGAGTTTATCCGAAGGGAGTCGCGGATCGTTACGGTGACGTCGTCGCGGTCTCTGGGTTTGACATTCAGGCAATGTCGCTTGCCGCTAGAGCGTGCCTACACAACATGGGATATAAAAATAAAGGCGTCGATCAGTCTGTTTTGATGAGGAAAATATTGTACCACGTCGGTTATCGTGCGATGGTCCAAAGCCCGAGGTACCTCTCCTTTAGATCGCTGCATAGAGATCCGAGCAACATGCTCGTGAGTGAGGCGAAGATGGTCGCGATGGAACGAATTGTGGCCGGTTTGCTTGAAAAGGGCGAGCGAGAGCGTTCGGATGATACGTCAATTGTGGATGATGGAGAAAGGCAAGCTCAAACGTTAGATGAAATGCTCTACGCAATTAAACTAATTTCAAAAGTAATTTCCAATATATCTCTAGTCAAAGTAATTGTTAGGCAGAAAAAACCTAAGCGTTATTAGTTTTACAGTTGTATTTTTTGATTACTTCCGATTGTTTGTTTGTAAAGCGTTCGATTGTTATTTGTAAAACGTGTAATAAAAATGATTCCCTGACCAGTAATAATCAATATGATTTTTGCATTACGATTAATTACTTTGGGTTCTCCCCACATCCACCCTAGTATAATTTTGGACTTTTTGATAACCTTGTTTCAAGTGCTCTCCAATTTTCCAGAACACTATAGACACTTGAAGCGCTACTTAAAGCTTTCTGGTGACTTTCTTTATCTTCCTTTAAATTCATTTTATGGCAATCTACGACACTTTAACATGTTTCCAAATCGACCTAAGAAAGCCCTGTAGCTTTTCTGGTGATTTTGGGAGACTTAAGTGGCTTGCGAGTATTAATATTCGCTATGCTGCCCTTTAGAGCTTTACAGCAGTCCTTTCCAGAACATTTTATACATTTTTAAACTTGCCTGGCACCTAAAAGTGCACGAAATGTCCGTGGAAGATCTAAATGTGTTTGTTTTTACAGATTCTGGAAAGCATTGAATAAGTAATGATAATAATTACATCAAAAATATGAATAATATACTAGTCCCCCATTTGAAAGCGAAAGCCATACTCCTGACATCTGTCGTAAATAATTCATACTCATCTTACCGAAAAGTGCAATGCACACTGATTTTGTCGGATATGTCACACGGCTACAGAAGAAATCTTTAACTAACGTAATAATACAATTTCCTGCATTTCTTAGTCTCATTCAGCAGTTATTTCATTAAATTTACGTTAGATGACAGCACAGTATAGTTCCTGGCACATTCTCAAATTTGTTTTCTTCCAACTTTAAATATTCATAAAAAAGGAACTTTATTATTACTCCTCTTGATCTACAAGTTTTAATTACGGAATTGGAATTGACAGGAACGCAGGAGACTCGCTCTGGGTCGTCCAATCGTCGGATCAGAAACGATAGCTTTGAATTACGACAGAAATGCATTGTTAAGAGTCAATGGTTAAGAGGATCAAAACGTAGTAGGTCATGTCTGGATTCAGGATCCCCTTGGGTCAAGGTTTCGTATGCTCGGTGTATACAGCTGGACAATGCCCCGAAATGTGGAAATGAAACTGCCTTACGTCTCGCCGAGATTCAACCCTTCTGATGTCAAAGTACCTTTGGTTGACAGTGGCGTAACTAGGTAGGTGCCGCGGCACCGCGCTCTAAAGGCGGAAGGGCGCGCCAGAGGCGCTGAAGTACCGAGGGCACTAAGTCGGGATGGGCAGTACGTGGTGTACCGTATAGGTCAGTCATAAAAGACAAGAACGGCAGTTAAATTCTAATAGTTTGCTAAAGTCGACTACAGGGTGCGCTGAAATCGAAGCTGAAATATAATGAAAACTAAATTTACGCTCCTTTAGGATGAACCGAACATTGTTAAAAAATTAAAAAAATTATCAAAGTCACCGTGTGAGATCCAAGGCATTTTTGTGTGGCAGGACAGTACTTTTATTAGCCCGTTTTGACTCCACAATCAATAAGATCTTGTCGGGAGCTACCATATTCCCTTTGTCGGTACCCACTTCTGACGCCCCCACAGTCCGCGGATGTATACGAAGTTTGAATCAAAACACTTGTACCACGCTATGTTAAGTGCCTCAATATGAATGGCGGCTATGTTGAAAAACAGCCTAAGAGTGTATATAATAACAGTTGTTTCTTACACTTTCTTAATTTTTTATTTCAAAACGTCTGTTACTTTCTGAATGGCCCTTGTAGAACAAAGTTACAGCGGTAGGAAAAGGCTGCAAATTTAAACTAATAATAATAATACTTTATTTGTGATCTATACCATAGTCTGTATTAGTGTGACCAGCATTTGCACCCTTATTCTAAGACGCAATCATTTCTACGACTTGTACCCTATGTCATAGCTAAATTTGACGCGAGAATTGAAAACATGATAAATTGTATTTCTATTCTTCGTTGAGTGAAAGACTTCGTTATTCAAAGCATTATTCTAAAATTTAAGTAGGTAGTGCAGTGCTTTTAAAATTTCGTGTAAAGTTTCTTTCAAAAATGTACAGTGTTTTATTACTTAGAGCTCAATGGTAACTAATAAGGCACCAAAACCTGATCCGGCACCGCTTCGAAAAATAACTACAGTAGGTACGTCACTGTTGGTTGATAGTAGCATAATTACTCGTAACGCCTGGAACTTCCTCGAAGTAGTCCCTTAGACTCAAGCTTAACTTTTGTTGGGGAATTTTCGCGAATTTATAAATTTGTAAAAAGGTAGCTTTTAATCTCACTTTGGCCGGCTGGCTGGCAGCAAACGCGGGCGCGTAGAATGACGATTGTAGAAAGGAGTGTACAAGTACATACCGGGACCGTGTAATTAATAACTTTAGGGACGGAGCTACACCATGCGGGGCCTGGGTCGTAATATTTTCAAGTAGCGCGCGAAAAAAAAGTGTATTGTTCTGTGTGAAAGGGAAGCAGGGATCCGAAACTAAATGAAATATCGGTTCCGGTTCTCTTTATATTTAAGCGAAAATATTTATAACGATTCCGGTCCGGTTTCGGTTCGGTTCTGCGCATTTTTCGGCCCATAACGGTTCTTTTCGGTTCTAGTCTTTTGGAAAGTATGGCATTAAAAAAAAATTCATTATAACAACGTGATTTGTTAATTAATAGGTGCGAAAAAGAAGTAAACAGTCATGTATACCAAAACGTGATAGGTATATCGTGTGTAGCTAAATTGCAACAACAATGGGAATATATAAATATAAAGGTATTTAAACTTAAATTATTGACTAACAAAAAATGTTATGTAAAAAAATTATGTATGGAGTATTGTTTTTTATTTTTATTTTCTAAAACCCCGCCCCTCCTTTTATTATTTACATTTACAGTAGTGGCTAATTTATAATTCATCATAGAGCAATTTAGTTTATCAATTTTTAGGACGTGTTTGTTGGCGCGTCCTTCAACTTCCAATAACCTGTCAGGAAGAGGAACCGTAAAAAAACCGAAAAAAGTAATAAGGGTTCCGGTTCTCAATAAGTTGCCATTTCTGAAGGAATAACGGTTTCGCTTCGGTTTTCAGTCCTGAAAGAAATACCGGTTTCGGCCCGGTTTTCGGTTCTTTTCCGGTCCGGTCCGGGTCCCTGAAGGGGCAGTGTAACAGTTGGTCGTGGATAGACACAAAATTAATTACATTAATTTTAATTAAGGGTAGTCTTGACTTAATTTTTTTAGACAACCCATTTGCAATGTTGTTTACATATACATGCTAAAAAATGTATTTCAGTCGGTAAGCAAATGTACTTGTATTCAGGATCCAGGATGGGGGAGTAGTTGCCGTTCTTTAGATCTAGCGTCGTCAATATTAGCGATCCAGTATCTTTTGGCTCAAGAGCGAAAAGAGATAGCGATGTCAAACATTCGCCAATCGATTTCTACGGGTTCAAGTTGAATATGAGCCGGATCAAAAGTCTGGTTTCCGCATAAGAGCCGAGTGGAAAAAAATTCCCCTACTGAAAGTCGTATGCGATTCTTTGTATCTTGTTGAAAGTGCCTCAAAAGAAACGGCGTAATCTCGGCGTAAATGATAATGTAAGTAAATTGCATGTTTGATAGCCTTTTATATGGATCGTGTGTCAAATAGCAAGGCGATGAAAAAATTTATCACGTCCGAGTCTGAATCGTGATAAAGCTAAACTTGCTAAACGATCGGGAATGATGTACAGAAAGAAGTTTACGATAGCGTGATGGTCAGGGGTTTATTCACAGTTATATGTTAACTGAGGCATAAATTTTCCCGATAAGGCACGCCTGATAACGAGGGAATGCTTTCATTTGCACTTTAATTATGAAAAAAAGTAGGGAAATGAGAATAGTGTAGGTATATTCGGGGAAAAGTCTCTTCGCTCGCCTCTTCCACCCTAATTTGCGCAACTTCATATCTCGAAAGTTGAAATATGAAATTTAAGGAATCGGACAAACTTATATTCTGAGGCGCTATCCAATTTACGAAGGACCTTTGTCCAACATCAAATTCAATATTATAAAGTAGACACTCGCGTCACATTTCGTTCGTTATTATTATCAAATATGATAAGTTCTATTTTGATTTTTGTGCATAATGGTAACATGCATCAGTCTGCTGCAAACTGGAGGGAATTGTGTAAACTGATTGTGAATGTACCAAGTGAGAAGAGTGCAGGTCCTGGGGATTTCTGAGAGCCTCAGGTGCTGTGACTGGATCGCTGGGTGGTCCAGACGTCGGTTGTCGCTGGACAACAATCCGGTGCACAGGTTGGTGGAACGTGAGGCGTAACGTTCAGAGTTGGACTGGGTCAAGCATAGAGTGACCCAGTGACCCGGTGACCCAGTTAGTGTACTGACCCAGTGACCCGGCGACCCTGTTGACCCGGTGACCCAGTTTGACCCGGCGACCCAGCTGGACCCAGTGACCCATCTTGACCCAGCTTTACTCAGTGACCCATCTTGACCCAGTGCCCCAGTAATTAAATTATTGGTAGGTATCATCCAAAACAATTTCAAGTAACTTTTAATTTAAAAAAAAAACTTCCTCAATAATATTCGGCAACAAGCACGTAGCCCAATTTCATTCAAGAGAACTAATCCCTAAAAAAATCAAATGCATTTGTTTATAGTTTGTAGTCATGCAGTCAATGAAAGTATTTAGAGAAAAGATTTATTTGGATTAAGCTAACTAGTAGAAAAAAATTAAATGTGAATGAATACCTGTAAGCAAACTGGTAAGCCCTGAAGCAAAGAAATGAAGGAGGTTAGAAATAACATTAATACAATTCGGGACATGGAAAGTTTTTTACGGCAGTATTAAAGCAAACATCACAGAAATGGCAGTTGTCAAGCAATCGAGTATTATTTTCAACAAACCAGCATTTCATTTATTTCATAATCTGTACACTTGAACCGAGGGCACTGACTTAACTGCGTTGTTCGATCAAACTAGGTTACTGGGTCGAATTGGGTCCTCGGGTGAAATTGGGTCGCTGGGTCAAACTGGGTCAAGTTGGGTCACTGGGTCAAACTGGGTCACTAGGTCAAACTGGG